GGTTGCGATCAAAAGGATAATGCGATATCTCGCGGGCACGTTGAACGTAGGTCTTTGGTATCCCAAAGGTTCGACATGTCATCTTGTTGGCTATTCCGACTCGGATTTTGCAGGTTGCAAACTCGATAGGAAAAGTACCAGCGGTACTTGCCACTTATTCGGTCATTCGTTAATCTCGTGGTTTAGTAAGAAACAGGTTAGTGTTGCACTTTCCACCACCGAAGCGGAATATGTCGCTGCGGGAAGTTGTTGTGCCCAAATTCTTTGGCTAAAACAACAACTAGTGGATTTCGGCCTTATACTTGATCACATCCCAATTAGGTGTGACAATATGAGCGCCATTAGTCTATCGAAGAACCCCGTTCTTCACTCCAGGACTAAACACATTGAAATTAGGCATCACTTCATACGAGATCACGTCCAAAAGGGAGATGTCACAATTGAGTTTGTTGAAACGAAACATCAATTGGCCGACATTTTCACGAAACCCCTAAGTAGGGAGAGTTTCTTTCACATTCGGAATGAACTTGGCATTTTGGATATCTCTATGAACTAACTTACTCTTTTTATTGATGGTACTAATTTGAGCGTCGGAGGCGCAATAATTTTTTTGCAGGGCTTTTATTGTAGGTTTCTCTTCCCTTGGTATTCAACCTAATTGGACTTGATATTTTTTTTCTGTCAAACACATTTTAATCGATTATTCCTCAAAGAAAAATCGATTAGTCGCCTCTGTCTTTCTTAATCGATTAATCGTTTCTGTTTAATCGATTAATTTGCGAAACGTCTTTAGCGCTGATTCACTTTTTAATCGATTAATCTTGTTCAATTAATCGATTAGACTCATCTGTTCAACTTAATCGATAGACCCTCTGTAATTAATCGATTAATATCTTGAACGAGACATTTTGGCTCTGCTTCTTCTAATCGATTAATAAGCTTCGTTTAATCGATTTTGCCTCGGCTGTGTTCCTTAATCGATTAAATACTTCATTTTAATCGATTAATATTCGATTTTCGCCCTATATCCAGCGCAGGCTTCGTCTTCTTCGCCATTCCCTCTTTTCGAATCACAGAAACCCTAGCCTTCCCCTCTCAATTTTTTTTCAATCTTCATCATAAATTCTCAAATCTCTTCCTTTTTCTTGTCCAATTTCATCAAGGAAAAATGCCAAGGTGTAAGAACGCTTCCTCGGGTCAAGAAACGGCGGTAGAGGAGAATGAGAGGCCATGGCGTCTTGAAGGGAGCAAGTACATTCACATTCAAACGGGTCTCGCCTTCAACACCGGGGCTTCCTTCGAGAGGTTCCACAACATCTTCCTCACGAAGGAGATCGTCGCTCCCAAGATCGTGAACAAGGACCTCTTCAAATCGGCGACCTATGCCCCGAGTAAGTCTATGTTCTTTCAACAAGGATTGCTTCGTTTCATCCATTTGACGTATGAATTCTTTTGTCCAAATCTTATACGTCAATTTTATGCAAATCTTCGTACAACTAAGGGAGGTTCGCCATCTCTCATTTCCTATGTTGACGGCAAAACCGTTTTCATTGACGGTGCCGGTTTGACTTTGTTGTTTGGTCTTCGTCGCGGCGAAATTACCGAAAACTTGGATGAAACATTCCAAGATGAGGCAATTTGGCGACAACTCGGGTTGGATCATCGTGACCTCAAGTTTAGAAACTCTAGCAACCCGAGTGTCGTTAATCTCACTTTAATTCAACGTGTCCAACAATACATTTTTTCATATGTTTTGTTGCCCCGTGATTCGAACCATGGCGTCGTCAACAAGGACGATATTCGTTTGTTTCACTTTCTTGTTGAACGATGTCAAATTTGATTGGGTTCACTTCTTTATCGTTGCCCTTAGCGATGGCACTCGTTTTTCCCATCTCCGGTTTGCCATCCCCGTTATGCATATCCTTGCACATTGCAAAATAGACTTTACTCGGGACACTCAGGTGCC